CTCTGGGTGTGTTAAGCCTTTTCGTGGGAAGTTATGATTGATGTTTATCAGCAGTAGAGTTAAGTAGCACAGCAAGTGTTGCACTGGTCTTGATGCAATACTCAGAATAGCTGTGAATCTGTCATTTTGAGTCAAACTAACGTGTTTGGGGGGGGTGTCTCTCTTCAGACACAGGCGCCTGGCTTTGTTGAAGCAAGTGAGTATCCGAGAGAACTGCTGCACGCTTTGCTGTGATGAGGTAGCAGACACAGAACTCAGGCCATGTGGACACAGGTAAAAATCTTAAAAACAACCCTAAACAAACCCAAACCAAAGAAACAGGAAGATGTGTGTGTTTGATATTCAACTTAGGCATGACCAGATGCAGTGATTGACTCCTCAGCATAAAGGAAATAACCCCTCTTTCTGAGGATGTGACAGATAAAAGTTAATCACAGTATTCCCACCATTCTCCTCGCCCTACCCCTGAGCAGATTTAATCCATAATTGCGTGTGTTTGGGGTTGGAGTAATACTGTGGCTACCAAGTCTTAATTCCCTGATAGCGAAGTCTTTATCCATGAGTACTTGTTTAGTACTGGTGGTGTGAAATCCAGATCACATGAGGAGAGCAGAAAATTCATTATATACTCAAATACTGATCAAATGTTCAACAAATAGATTTTCTCAAGTCACAAATTAATCTAAAAGCTAAAAATGGGACAGCAATTTGAATAATACCATAATAGAACTTCCCTGTGTTTAAGCAGCCTACTAGGAATTTAATGCAGTTAAGTCCAGTTCCTTAGTGTTTTTAGAGCACTCGTCGAGCAGTCTTGCCATGGGTCTTCAATCTGGATGCTGCAAAGATAGAAGGGATGTGCCCAGTGTGCCTTAAGAAGAAGTTGAGACAGGGCGCTGGGGCTGCTCTTCTCCAGACTAGGGAAGTGTTAAGATAAACCGAAGTATGCAAGTGTAATCAACTGCACTGGCAGTGTGAGGACTCTAAGATGCTGAGCAGCGGGAGCTCCTCTCCAAGCCTGTGGATCCACACCTGACTTGCAGTTCCTAATCTCCATGCTGCAAGACTTATCTTGACTGTGTTTCTGGCAGGCTGACTAAACTGCTTAGGGCTTGGATTTTTAGTTTTTCACACTGTAAGGGCAAGCTTTAACTGATCTTTTTTTTTTTTCTTCCTCTTCAGTGACCTGTGCATGGAGTGTGCCTTGCAACTGGAGACCTGCCCTTTGTGTCGACAGGAAATACAAACCCGAGTCAGACAGATCTCTCACATTTCATGACACACGTGGAGAGATACCACAGACTTGTTTTTAATGAACTCCAACCAATACTGAAAGGGGAAAGCATCTCTAACAATCTTTACGCACATAGAGCCGTAGCCACAGCCAGATTTCATGCTAAACTGTAATCTGTTTATCTTAAAAATGAAATCTTTGATAAGCTATTTCAAGTTGCCAGCAATGGAGACTGGTTTCAACAGTAAGGAGAGCTGGTAGGTCAGTGTGCTATGGCTGTTGGTTCCTCCAAGCAAGACCATAGGAGAGTGTCTCTCTTCCTCCCCTTCTCGCCTGTCGCAAGTGCTGAAAAAATTTGCACTGGAAGTACACGTACAATGCATTTTAGAAAAGAAGAGAAGAAATATCTCCAAAAACAGGGCCGTTCTGTCTTGTGCTCAAAAGTCTCTATTTTTGGCAGAAGTCAGTACTAAAAAAAGAATGCCAATGTTTTCCTGTTTAATGTAGCCTCCTGCTGGTCAGAGACTCTGTATTTTCCGACAGTGGATATTAAACTGCTCAAAGACTTAATCTGTACACAGACTGATTTGCAAAGACAGCATGGAGACTGTAGAGAAACTCACATGTTTTAATAACCTGGTGATTCCAAAGAACGTTCTGATTTGTTTTTAAACGTTAAAAGATCGGTGGTATTTTCAAGTACATAATGTTTCTGATGCTTTTAACTTCAGTACCCACATTTTTTGGTGAGGATATAATTTTCAGGAGGTATTCTTAACTAATTATAATGCTGGCTTGGAATTAATTTGATATTCTGGGTATTTTTTAAGGTATCATCAAACATCTTTTTTATTCAGTGTTGGTTTTGAAAGTTATGTTCACTTTGGAAATACTGAGCTATCCTAAAAGACTGGAGGAGAATTTGGGGCCAGTTTCTTTAAAAAAAGGAGGGGGGGGAGGAAGTATTTGGATAGCAAGTTCAGTCTTATTTTGTAATTCTTTAAAAATGTGCACCTTGCTTGCCATGTGTCAGTCCTGCTCTGAGCAGGTTTGGGGCCACGCTTCATGTTTTTTGTAGGGATCATCCAGTGAGAATCTCTGGTCCAGTTTAGTTACACATTTGTGATGTTTGTGTGTTAAGAATGCATTTCAGCAGGCAGCTTTTGACTGTTTTACTAGGTTTCTACAAGGAATCAGGGTTCACAGCTGGTGTCAGTGAAGTAGCACAAAAATCGGTGGAGTTCTGCTTATTTTGCACCAACTGAGGCTATGACTCCGTCTCTTCCAAGACTTGTACAGGTTGCTTTTTTAAAATTATCTGGCTATATAGTAGCACTTCACTAATTCACACACAACTCACACCAAAACCATCCCACTTCTTGGCAGTGATTCAACAGCAGAGGCTGTTGTAGTGAATTCTCATGCTGCAATATCTTATTTTTAATTTTTTTATTATCTTTATTTACTATCAAGTATTAACAAAGCAGAGGTGAG